GCTGGAAGTGGTGCTGTGGCTCAAGCAGCAGAGCCTTGCCTTGAGCTGAAGAGCGTAGGGACAGTGCCCAAACCCAGAGTTCAAGCCCCACTCCTGAATCCCCCTCCCCCCAAAAAAAGAATGAGTCTGGAGGTGGTCCTTCATTATTGACTGGGGTAGAATAGAGGCTCTAGGGCAAGTTCAAGTTCAAAGACACTAGTGGGATGCTGATGGTAATGAGAAGAGGCAAATTTGTTTGGCCAAGAAAAATGGAATTGTTTTCTAGATCCTTAGGTAGGAGTCAAGGGTTTACCTTTCATTTCCTCTTCATTACAGGCATTCCTCCTCCATCAGCCATAGGCTGGAAGTAAGATTTGATCCCAAAGAGTCACCGAGGCACGTATATCTAAAACTAGAAAATAAATGACTGAATTGGGGATCCCGAGGAACCAGCCTGGCAGCTGACACTGAAGAGTGTATAAAGGTAGAAGTAGGAGGTAGCCTGGAAGTATATGCTGAATTTTGCCAAAGTCACATCAAGACCCTTTCTTCTGATCTCCTGTTCAACAGAACAAGTCTAGGAGTTAAGAAACAGATTACGTGAACACTTTACCCCAGAGACTAAATAGAGTGGGTGGCTGAGAGGGAAATAACAGAGTTAAATATTTCCTTTGAGCAATGAAGGATGGACTTGAGCCCAGAGCTGTAATTCATAGGGCGTAAGATGAATCTAGCTGCTCAGCGGTCTCTACATTGGAAGGAGAATGGCCCAGGGTTCAGCGGTTGTGAACCTAGTGGATGATGGCTCTTCTGGAGGGTATTTGTAGGGCTCCCGAAGGCTCAGTCTACCCAAGTGCTGCCTTCTTTGCCCATCTCTGTGGTTCAGGTCTCATGAACAGGTGAAACACATCAGGGATCTTTGAAAAAGATCTTTGATAACGACAGAAAGCAAAAAGGGATAAATCCATGCATATGTAAATCTGTTTATATATCACCTTGGAAAATCTAATTTATATCTGACATGGTTAGGCAATGATTTATAGTATCTGATCTGAGGAACTGAGGCTCTTCCAATCACTGTTCTTTCTATTACTATCTTGTCTAGACCACACTGCTTGCCTGGCTACCTTAGACCCATTGTTCTCGCCTCAGTTCTTTCATTCTGGGATTGTCCTTCAGGATATTCCATATTACAGGCTGGCAGAGCCATCTGTGACCTGGATGATTGGAGGAGCTGAAGGAAGTAGGGTCTGAGCCTCACATCTTACTCTCTATCTGCCTCTGTCTGGGTGTGGCATATCTCCTTTTGGGGCTGACCTTCGGCCTGGAACCTGCTGAGATAAATGCCTCAGCCAGGCAGTCAACATCTGTTGACCTACTTCAGCTTTCCATAGCTGGGATTGCAGGCATGTATCACCGTGCCTGGCTTGTTTTTACAACTTGCTAGCTTTTTGCCTGGGCTGGCCTAGAACTCTGATCTTCCCATCTCTACCTCCCAATTTGCCAAGGATAGTGGGATCATGGTGAACATGAGGAAATAAGAGGATGGTGGCTCTGGAGTTCGGGAATGGAAGTAGGGTTGCTGATTCCAATAGGAATAGTAGAACACTTCACAAAACAATGTGGGCCAGCTAAAGATCGGGAGGTAGTAATAATAGTAACAATGGTAGCAGCTAGAAAGGATAGTGCTTGCACTATTAGATTACACTTAAGAAACGTGTGTGTGTGCATGTGTGTGTGCGCGCGTGCGCGAGTGTGTGTGTGTTCAAATACTGCTGATCTTTGGGAACATTAACCATTTAATCATCCCATTAGTAATAGGAGGTGGGAGTATTGTCACTGCCATTATAACATTAAAAAAACTGAGACTTAGGGAAGTACAGTCATGTATTCAAGACTGCACAGCTCACATCTGAAGGAGGATGCACATAGGACCCTCGGATCATGGGCCTTCCCTAGGCCTCCAACAGACATGTGGTATTTGCTCTGGAAGTGACCTTAGATGTTATTGAGGTCAGACATTTCCAGTGCAGCCCTCTGACTAAAGACCAGTGAACTAAGATGCTCCCTTCCCTTTTGACAGATGGGGAAATGAATCAGATTGGTAATGATTCTAAGTTCTTCCAACTTCCCCTTAAGGGCTTTCCATACGCTACTTTAGCATATCCTTCCACCCTCACTTCTTATTTAGGAACCTCTGGGGCAAAGGTGTTTAGTTGGAACAATGGGTTCCCAAGAGGGTACAGACAAGTGTTAAATAAGATAATACACATAAAACTTTCAGTATGGTGCTTAGCACATAGTCACCTTGCAAAACACACTAGTGTCTTTGACAGAGTCCATGTGACTAATTCTGTGCTCAGGGCTGAGGTTGGCAGGTGATTGGAGAAGGGAAATATAAGTCTTGGTGGGGAGGGGGCATCCTCTTTCTGGGCTTACTGTCTTGATTGACAGGCTTCAGGCTTTGCCTAAATCCATCAACCACAGTGAAAGTAAAATGTGGTCAGAAGCCTAGTGAAAACCCACCATTAAAACTTCTGGGTGTAGGAAAACAATTGCTTGCCTTAAATAAGTGACTTATCATTGCTGTGTTGCTCTTTAATGATAGGCCTTCTTTGAACATTCAAACACACAGGGCCTTTGTAAACTAGTACTCCCTCCCATATGTGTACTCTCCCTTTCATTTACAAGAACATAAACACCCATCTCTTACTCATTCACATAACGAATTTCAGCTCCTTGTGTCTCAGTTAAGGAGGAGTTCTCACAGAATTATGGGCATCTGTACCATCTTCCTGTTCCAAAGCCCCAGGGAGCTCTTGTAAGAGGGAGTCCTTTATTGAAAGAAGATAAGAGGCAACAAGTACTTTTCATTAATGGACAAGTCCCAGCTTTTTCTTTCTCTGACAATAGAGTCATTTACTTCAGCAGCCACTTCTCTAAGACAATTCCAAAAGTTTTCCACACTAACTCTTTTGTACTTAAAACCATCACACGTTCCAGTTTTCTCCCTTCTCAAACTCAACACAGAGCCCTTTGCTTCTTGAAAGATTTTTCTAGGTATTGGGAGAGACTAGGCAAATCTGCTTCCTCTCTTCAGCTTTCTTCCTTGTCAGAGAAAGATATAGATTCTGCAGACAGATAAGGAGAGCTTTGAGATCTAGAACCAATGATGGGCTCTCTGGCTCTTCTCTAAACTGGATGGGAGCTTGCAGTGTGGTTTTCACCTGATCTATACTCAGCCTCCTACTCTAGTGCCTTGCCCAACACTCTGTCAAAGGTCAAATGAGCTGGGTGCTGGGGCTCATGCCCATAATTTTAGCTTTTCAGGAAGCTGAGATCTGAGGATTGGAGTTTGAGGCCAGCTTAGGCAAAAAAGTCTGGGAGACCTTTATATCCAATTCACCAGCAAAAAGCCAGAAGTGGAGCTGTGGCTCAAGTGGGAGATCATTAACTTTGAGCAGAAAAGCTAAAGGGCAGCACACATGTCCTGAGTTCAAACCCCAGTACTGGCACACACACACACACACACACACACACACACACACATCACATGATACAGACTTATGAATGACATATCATTTGATTTTTCTACTGTCCACAAGTCCCTCAGTCTCTCTTGCAGAAAGATAACCCGCCTTTTATACTTGCAACCCCAGTGCCAGTGCTCTACATCCTCTCCAGGCACTGGAGTGCTGGTAAATGTTTACCAAAGGCTCATCTCCCCTCCTCAAGTCCTGATTGGCAGTACTTGCTGTACTTCTACTAGGATCTATTTTCAACACTCCCCTGAATGGGGAGATGCAGAATGGCAGGCCATTTAGAATCTCCATTCTAGGATGGGAAGGGGAAACAAAGGAGGAGGCAACAATGCTTGATAAGAAAAGTACTCATTACCTTGCCCATGTAATTGTAACCCCTCTGTACGGTATTTTCACAATAAAAAAAAAAGAATCTCCATTCTAGTCACCCTGCCCCTCCCCCGCAGCTATTTTTTTCTGGGAGAACCACCCTAGAGGCTGTTGGGGAGGGGAGAGAGGGTTGGGAGTTCTAGTGGCTTACAACCATAGACAATAAGCAAATAATTAGGAAGTGGTGGGTTTTGGGTATTTATCGTCTTTGTTTTAAAATACAATTTATTTGATGGTAAGTTTATATGATTTACATAATGGCCGTGTTTAACTGAAAATGTAACAGTCCATTCAACATACACAGCACACCCCTGGCCCCAAGGTTGACAGCTGGCCAGGCCAGTTCTGGGTTCCAGCAGGGCTCTCCGTGTTCCTTGGAAGCTGTTTCCAGACATGGGACATTTACGCGCGCGGGGGTGGGGGGGCGGATTCTTGGTTTGGGGTCTTTTAGTGGATTTTGGGATGAAGAAATAACAGGAACTATACAACAGAAGGATGGGCAGGACCTGCAAGAGGTGCGGTAGGTAGTGTCTTCATTCCTGATACCTGCTGCCTCGAGACAGAGGCTGTCCACCCTGGTAGTGATTAATTTGATGTGCCCGGGCACTGGGGCAAAACGCTAACGGAGTCTCCAGTTCTGGTTTCTCTGGCCAAGCCCACGCCTCCTCCTGCCTCAGCTGAACGCCACTCCCGCCCTGCCAAGTGGCTCTCGCTCTGGAGGCGGGACCGAGTTCTCCGGTGGCCCCCGGAGGCTTGGGGCTCTGGGAGGTTGGGAGGGGAGAGAGAGATCGGCGCTGACTGGGCAGCCCAAAGAGGAGGGGGCCCTTTAATAGGCTCGTCCGGAGCCAGCTTTGCAGCGCCGCGAGCGGCTGTGATTCGGAGAAGCCACCCCGGTGCCTCCCGCCAGTCCTCCCGCGGCCAATCTTGCAGTTCTTGCAGTTGACAGCGATTGTTCTGAAAGCTCCCCGGGCGCGCTCTCCTTGGAAAGGCACAGGTAGGAGGCGCGGGCTGCCCAGTGTATGCTGGCTGCTTTGGGAGGAGTCTCCCTGTCCCGGTTGGCTTTCTGGTTATCCGGAGGGTGGTGAGGGGGGCTGCCGTCTGTCCCGGGGAGCACGGGTGTTCTGGCGTGTGGCTACAAGGAAACCGTGCCTGCCGCCGGGGAGCCAGGCCAAGTCCCTTCCCAGAGTGCGGCCGTGCGCTGCCCGGCGCCATGCTTCTGTTGGGCGTCTTAGCGCTGGCTCTCATCGGGCGACCTGCTGGCAGCTCCGAACCAGAGTGGGAGGTGGTGGTTCCCATCCGACTGGACCCGGACATCAACGGCCGCCACTACTACCGCCGGGGTCCCGAGGACTCCGGAGATCAGGGACTCATTTTCCAGATCACAGCGTTTCAGGAGGACTTTTACCTACACCTGACGCCGGATGCCCAGTTCCTAGCTCCCGCCTTCGCCACCGAGTATCTGGGGGTCCCCCTCCAGAGGCTCACCGGCAGCTCTCTGGATCTGCGGCGCTGTTTCTACTCGGGCGACGTGAACGCGGAGCCGGACTCGTTTGCAGCCGTGAGCCTGTGCGGGGGTCTCCACGGAGCCTTCGGCTATCGGGGCGCAGAGTATGTCATTAGCCCGCTGCCCAACGCCAGCGCGCAGGCGGCGCAGCGCAACCGCCAGGGCGCACACCTTCTCCGGCGCAGGAGCGCCCCTGGCGGCCCTTCCGGAGACCCCACCTCTCGCTGCGGGGTGGCTTCAGGCTGGAACCCCTCTATCCTGCGAGCCCTGGATCCATACAAGCCAGGGAGGACGGGTTTGGGGGAGAGTCACAGCCGGCGCAGGGCCGGACGCGCCAAACGCTTCGTGTCAATCCCACGGTATGTGGAGACGTTGGTGGTAGCCGACGAGTCCATGGTCAAGTTCCACGGGGCGGACTTGGAACACTATCTGCTGACTCTGCTGGCCACGGCAGCTCGACTCTACCGCCATCCCAGCATCCTCAACCCCATCAACATCGTGGTGGTCAAGGTGCTGCTTCTGGGGGACCGTGATTCTGGGCCTAAGGTCACGGGCAACGCGGCCATGACTCTACGCAACTTCTGCGCCTGGCAAAAGAAGCTGAACAAAGTGAGCGACAAGCACCCCGAGTACTGGGACACCGCCATTCTCTTCACCAGGCAGGTGAGTTGATCTGCCACCCCTTTGGATCCAATTAGCCCCAATTCTCTTACGGGTCACCTCCCTTAGCTATCCAAAGTCCCTTTGTGTCCTGCCATGCCCCCCCAGATATGAATTCTGTTGATCTCTTCCGACTGCAGCTTTGGAACTTCGAGCCCTCTGCTAGGCTCAGTACAGCTCCGGCTCACGTGCATCTGGGTGGTTGGAGGAGAGCTTGTTTTTTCCGAAGGTGTTGGCCTGACGCAGCCAATCAGCGCCTCCTGGAGCAGGCGCTGAGGGGCTGGAACCCCGAAAGTTGCCGCCCCGGAGCCGCAGTTTGTCTTAATGGCCGATAGGAGGCGCTAAGAGGATGGTGTTGTAAAGGGTGGGAACCTCTGTCTCTCTTGTATGGAACATCTACATTTTGTTACCTCGGAGGACGGTTTATTTTGCAGGCTGTAGAAGTGGAAGGTGATCCAAGGTCAGTGCCTGCTACATTTCTAGCTGGTAACATATCATCTCTCTGGCTTGGGCCTGGAAAACCTGTATTGGGGTGAAGGGAATCGTTGAAGTATTTTGGAGGTTGAAGCGAAAGGCATCCCTTCTTCATGGCTGCTAACTCTACTCTGTTGGACCTTGTCAACGAGGGTTCCACGCTGTTCTCGGCAGAACAGTTTAGCAAGGCACTTGTTTGGTGTTGGGACTGTTTCACTTGGAACTGAGCTGGGAAAATCTCTTCTGATTTGTTAGCAGATGGTGACCCATCTGCCCAGCTGTATGGTGCAGAGCAGAACTGACAAGTTCGCTCATGTTCTGGACTCACTGAAGTTCCTATGACCCCACTAGAGTGCAGGGCTCCAGCGTCCGCCCTGCAGTGGAAACAGTGTGAACTTAGTCAAGAGCCTTTGAGGACTCCAGCTGCAGGGTGTGTGGAGATTAGAAAGATGGATCCAGACCAGGAAAAGCAGCTTTGCCCTTTGCAGGTCTTTACCTGATATTCTGTCTTCAAAGAAGCTATGAATCTGTGAACATTTAGACTCATAGGTGTTGACATGGTTGGAAATTGTAAAGTTTTCTGGATTCTTGAAATTTCTCGGATACAGGGGACCAGGAGAAAAAGGGCCAGCCAAGGGACCTTTTTTCTTTTTTTTCCCTCTCAATTTGGGGGCTGTGACTTCAATCTGTGCCATGCTCTTGTTTTGTCATTATCAACACCACAGTAATCTGGCAGTGACATAGAATCTTGGGTTACTTCTGGGGCTCTCAAATCTCCTGTTTCCAAATGGTCACTTGAAGTTGGTCTGGCGCCCACAGGCTGGAGCTGGAGTCTTCCACAATAACCCATTTGGCACAGCTAGTCCTTTTTCTGGAGTTGGAACTTCCTTCTTTCCCAGCCTCTTCTCCTCCCACCACCTGGTTTCTCTAGGGAGGTCTTTGGCCTGAGTCTTTCTTCCTTGTGTTCATTCTTCCAACTGAGGTTTGTGGAGCTACTGCTGCCCAGTCCCTACAAGCACTGCCTGAGTCATGGGGAAACTGAAGAGAGATGGCTTCAATCTCTGCACACAGGCCAGCCTTGCAGTCAGATTGCTGGGGGGGAGGGGGGAAAGGATGAGGGGGGGGGGAGAGGTGACGAGCAAAGGCCAAGAACAAGATCTCTTAATGGGCAAAGCAGCTGTTGTCTCATTTGCTACCCGGGATGCTCTCATGGAAGTCACTCCCAGCTCTAAAGTAATAGACCTGTCTCTGCTGCTTAGTGCTTAAGAATGACTTTTGGGACCAGCCCTAGGAAGAGGAGTCCTGCTGGGGACTATGGGCCCTACCATCAGAAGGATCCAGCCTTTTGAAGAAGAAGCAATCAAACAGCATGTCAGCTTCTGTCTGTCAGTGTTGTGCTAGCCTCCCAGGGAGCTATATTCTCCATGCATAATGGCTACAAGATGCATGACCACTTGAGTCAGAAGGAGTTGATATGCAAGATGGGCCTTTTAGAAGCTGTTTGCCCTTTAGGCATCTACAGGGCAAAGCCAGAGGGCAGGAGGCTATGTAGGCAGGTCCATCATCAAGGTATGTGTGTTATGCTCTGGATAAACATCCCTCTTTGCCAGCACAGATTTTGGGCCTGTTGCATTCTTGGAGTCTTAGCAAACCTCTCATTCCTGAGCTCCCTGGGGGAAGGTACAGTACTGGAAGAGGACAAGAGCAAACAGCTGCTCTTTCTAGTCTAAGGCAGATGTGGTCTCCAGGAACTTTATCCAGAAGGGAGAATACATTGATCATACAGCAAGTGTTTTGACAATTGGAAGAGTTTATGTAAAGATTCAGAAGGAGTTCATGGACAAAGAGTACACTTCTGAGTTTGCATACCAGTCAGCCTCCAGGCTAACAGCAGGATGAGGTCAGCCTAGGACTGGAACAAGGATCTGCCCAGAGTCAGAGACAAAGTCTTGATCATTTATTTCTATAGGAAAACTGTTTCTCTGGCTTCTCCTGTACCCAGCAATAGACACCAGGTATTTACCTGACAGGCTCTCCTTTGCTGAGACTTCCTGTCTTCAGGTCTAATGCTTCTGTTGTTTGAGTAATCCTTTATGGCAGAATGGCTTTCATCCATTTATTTACACATTTTTGTTTTTGGGTCCAGTCATGGGGCCTGAACTCTGGGCCTGGACGCTGTCCCTCAGCTCTTCAGCTCAAGGCTAGCACTCTACCACTTGAGCCACAGTGCTACTTCCGGCTTTTTTCTTTTTGCTTATGTGGTGCTGAGGAATTGAATCCAGGGCCTCATGCATGCAAGGCAAACGCTCTACCACTGAGCCACCTTCCCAGCCCTTTATGCATTTTTTTTAAATGCTTATGAACACCTATTATTTCAAAGCACTATTGGGGTTGAGCTATTCATATTAATAAGACATAGCCCTAGGAATTTACAGTGTGGCGAGCAGCAGCTAATCACAATGCAGTGTGCAAAGTGCCAGGGCAGAGGGAGGGGTCCTCTGGGGACCAGAGGATGCTTTCCAAGAGCTCCAGCTACAGAAAGACCACTTCAGCCAGGGGAAATGACAAAGGAAGCTTGCTTTCTATGTAGTAGATGATCTTTACTCTTTCCACCATTGGTGTCACTGTGACATTGCTTCTCTTGCATGAAGCATTATAGGTCCCCGCCCCGCCCCCCATGGGCTAATTCTTTCATGTTTTCTCTCCCCCCTCACTCTCTCATGCCATTAGTCCTGTTATTTTACCTCTTTTGGGATTATCCATCTAGGCAGGGCTTTTTTTCCCTCTTATTTTCTTCATTCATACTCTGACCTTTCCCCTCTCACAACTTCAAGCTTAGTGATTGAGGAGGACTATGGTTTGTGGGGGATATTCTGTACTGTGCATGGCAGAATGGTCTCTAGAACCTCGTGTGACAAAGATGGTCACAGCTTTCTGTATAGAAATGAAGCACATGGCAGTGGATTTAATGTTTCAGTTAAAAACCATGAATAAGCTGGGTGCCAGTGGTTCATGCCCGTAATCCTCACCACTCCTTCCTTCCCTCCATCTTCTCTCTCTTTTTTTAAATTAAAAAATAGTTTTTAAACCATTGATTTAGTTAAGGTGGCCAGTGCAAGACTGGATGTGGTGGCTCATGCCTGCAATCCTGCCTTCCATGGAGACAGAGGTAGGAAGATTGGAGTTCCATACCAGTCTGGGCAAAAAGTTACTAAGACCCTATTTCAAATAACATGCTAAGTGTGGTGTTGTATACCAATACCCACAGCTACACAGGAGGTAGCAGTAGGAGGATTGGAGTCTGAAGGTAGCCTTGGTAATGAGGGTAAAATCCTATCTGAGTAAGAACTGAAGAAAAAGGGATTGGAGGCTTGACTTGAGTGGATCACTTGCCTAGAAAGCCTGAGTTCAAACCCAAGTACTGTGAATAATAATAATACTAAGTGAAAAAGGTGGCCAGTGAGATTTTCAGTTTCATTAGGTGTTGCTTTCCACTTTCCTTTGACTTTCTCTGTGGTTATCTCTCTCTTGCTCCCTCCATCCCTTGACACTTTCTCCCACCTCATTTTGACACCTTGACTTGATCACATGACACAAGGAAAGAGTCAGTTGAACTGAGTTTGAGTCCTAGCACTTGAACTTCCAGCCCAAAGACTGGAAATGAGTTAGCTCCCTGATTTTCACTTTCCTTATTTATCATCCTTACACGGAGGTTCACAATGATGGTAATGTTTAACTTGTGAGGCTATTCAATAACATCAAGTTATTGAATCACCAGGAAGAGGCAGTAGAGAGTAGCAGCATTATTTTGTTGTCATTACTTTAGAAGTTGCTTATCTCTTGTTGTCAAATCATTACTTACTGAATAATTAATTCTCCTTGCCAAGATAGCTTGAATTTGGGCTAGCTCTGGTTTAAAGTACTCTATCCCTTGCAGATAACGCTGGGGCTGTCTCCTACCTATGCACATCACACTTGACTGATAAACATTCCTGCTTTGTGTAAGAACTACAGGTGCCGGCATTTGCTTCATCCTGGTCTGTAAGCTCCTTTAGATCAGGGGTCTCTTTATATCTTTGTAGCCCCTGCACAGCCTCATGTATCTTGTGGCTCAGCAAGTGAGCATGGAGGCAAGGTGCTGGGAAAACCTGGGGCTCAGATAGTTGGTTACCTCCCTCCTGGGGATCATTAATCCAACTTTCAGGCTGTCAGGCCGCAGGGTTGGGAGAGGGGGCCAGCGGCTCTTCTGGCATTGCTTCTTGGCGCTAAGCCATTAGGCTTCATCTGGGAGAAAGGTGGGGCCCCAGAAAGGAGGATGATAATCCACTCTGGAGTCAGCAGACAGGGTGCATGGCAGGGCCGGGGGGTCAGTGTGTCAATGCAGGTGTGGGGCAAGGAGCCAAGAGCTTGCTCCACTAGCTAGGCACCAGCAGGAAATGCTCAGCACTGAATCCTGCTAGGCATTATCCCTTAAGGTTTTTCACTCAAGGATAGCACTCTACTGCTTGAACCATACTTCTACTTCCAGTTTTTTGGTTGTTAATTGGAGATAAGAGTCTTAGGGACTTTCCTGCTTAGGCTGGCTTCTAACTGTGATCCTCAGATCTCAATCTGCTGAGTAGCTAGGGTTCTAGGTGTGAAGCACCAGTGCTTGGCAATCTTTCCCTCTTGAGATCCTTTAGCCTCTTTACTCTTTTTTTTTTTTCCCCTTTTTTTTTTTATTGTAAAGATACTATACAGAGGGTTACAGTTACATGAGTGAGGTAATGAGTACACTTCCTCTTGAACATTGTTAGCCTCTTTACTCTTGAGGAGGGTGTGTACCACAAGCTGTAGGGAGGCTTGGTTAGAGCTCAGTCCCTAAACTACACTGTGTAGGTCTCAATCCTGACTGCTTCCTCTGTCTAATTCAGGACTCACTATGTGATCCTGGATGAGTTATTTCCTATCTCTAGGTCTGTTCTGTAAAATGGGGCCTAATACTGGCATCTATCCTAATGCTGTGGTGAGGATTATATGGGCTAATCCAAATAAACTCTTGCATCAGTGTTTGTAACACAGTAGTCACTTAATAAATGATAGCCATCATCACTGTACTTGGTAAGCACCCTCTCTTATAGCAGTCACTTCTCAAAAAGGTTTAACCTTCCTGAAAGCTTTGGCTTTCTTCTTCCTCATTGAGGGACTTCTTGCCATTTTGCTTCCTGGAGTCTCTTGCATTTTGTAAATCTGGAGGACTTTATGTGCCAGTGAAGTTGAATCTGCTAATAGAAGCAACTAACCTCCCCTGCCTCTTCCCTTGTCACCAAACAGCCTTAGCATGTTGCCCAGGCGCTTACTTGCTGGATTTTATTTTATTTTCTGGCAAAGCAAAACCCTCTCATCCTTGAGGATTGCAAACACATGGGTTTGTGTGATTTTTTCCCCTGGCCAGGAACATGAAGTGGTATATGGCAGTGATTCAGATGGAAAACTGTAAATACTTGCATGGGGGTGCTTTACACCAGCAAATACAGAATCCCAACGGTGTGTAATCAAATGGTGTAGATTCAGAACCCCTTTCCTCGCTTATATCTGGGATCTCATGTGAATTCTTGCCCTGGTCCTGCCTCTTCTGAGACGCAGGATGGTAACTAGACCTCTAAGTGCTAACAATGTGCAGGGATGGCCACAATTTTACTGTGAACTAATACTCCCTAGTGTTGGGTATATAATCTCAACTCATTGAACCTCAGTTTCCTCATCTGCAAAATGAGGGGGAAGATTCTGAAGTTCTATAATGGCTCTGGACCCTGTGACATAGCTGTAAAGACGGTTCTGGCTCTGTGCCTTGGATTTCAGGAATTTGGTTACATGAGCATGCATTTCTTTTCTGCCCTTTAAAAAATGAATGTGCTCAATTCTTATGGGTCCCTTGTCCTCTGTGCTGCTGGAAAACATGGAGTATCCCAGCACATGCCTGGCAGATCTGCCGAGTGGGTATCTGGTGGGAATCCTGGCAGTCAAATTGGAGATTGCAAACACATAGGTTTGTGAGAAACAGCAGTGAGGCTATGGCAAAGTGTTACTGTACATCCATCCATCTATCTATATCTATCTGTCTGTCTGTCCATCCTATCTATCTATCTATCTATCTATCTATCTATCTATCTATCTATCTATCTATCTATCTATCTATCTATCTATCTATTTTCAGTCATGGGATTTGAACTCAGGCTTGTGTGCTGACCCTGAGCTCTTTCACTCAAGGCTAGTGCTCTGTCACTTTGAGCCACAGCTCCACTTCCTGTTTTTTAGTGGTGAATTGGAGATGAGTCTAAAGGACTGTCCTGCCTGGGCTGGCTTTAAACTGCGATCCTCAGATCTCAGCCTCCTGAGTAGCTAGGATTACAAGTGTGAACAACCAGTACCTGGCCCATATTTATTTAGCTTGCAGCTCTAATCTACATTGCTTTATAGAAGGGGACAGTTAGAAAAGAACAGTCTAGGAAGATTAGGTTCTTTGCCAAGATGATACTTAGGTCTTTTGGGAAAGCAGCTGTGACCATAAGAGTAATGGCGAATTGCCAGAAGTAGTAAGACAGGTAGGGAACTGGGATGGGAAATGCCTGTACCTTCCAGGCTGAAAGAACCAAAACACTATCTAATTTTTGAATAGCTGGAGGTAAAGAGGTTAAGACAATTTTTAAGTGTTTTTGAGTTCATTCCAGAAGGGTGGAAATATTCAGTGTCATAAAGGAGGAACAATTGGGCCACTGTAGAAGCCTCTGTGGCTGATAAAAGCACCAAGCAAGGCCCAGTGATTCTTTATTTGTATCCCTGGCTTGATGAAGAGGGATAGGCAGAGCCTCTGACCCCAACAGCGGCATCTTCCCATACCGAAGATGCCTGTCACTCCAGGGAGTTTCTCTCTGCTTCATCCTTAACCCGCAGGAAGTTTGCTGGCTTTCCTTGTTCTTCTTGTTTGATCCAGCAAAGCTGGAATTTCTTGATGGAAAGAGCAGGTTGCTCCTGGCTAGGAGGGGCTTGCAGCTGCATGTCTCTCCAGAGAGACTCTGTCTTCCCTGAGGAAGGCTGCCTTGGCTCTAAGGACCTCCCAGAGATGCTGGAAGCAATGAGCTCAGGGGAGCCTGGAAGCCATGGAATGTGCCTAGCCTACAGCAGCCAACCAAACACCTTTGCTGGTTGGGATCCTACACTCTAGAGTCTAGGGTTATAGGGCCCCATTGCCTAGCCTCCTATACCATGCCTGTAGTGTGTCCATTGGCTATGACCGAGTCCCCAGGCATAGAGACCCTGATGCATGCTCCCCTCTATCTACAAGCGAGCCCTGGCCATCCCATTCTCTAAACTGTTCACTGAATAGGTGAATAGAATTTGACAGCAGGGGCTGGGAAGGTGGCTCAGTGGTAGAGCGCTTGCCTTGCATGCATGAGGCCCTGGGTTCAATTCTCAGCACCACACAAGCAAAAAAAAAGCCGGAAGTGGCGCTGTGGCTCAAGTGGTAGAGCACTAGCCTTGAGCTGAAGAGCTGAGGGACAGTGCCCAGGCCCAGAGTTCGGTCCCTATGACCGACCAAAAAAATAAAAAAGAAAAAAGAATTTGACAGGGTTTAAGGCTCTGGGGAAGAACTTTTGAGGAGAGTGTGATTTTGAACAGGGAAGAGTTCTGTGAAGGGAAGGGAATGTGAGGATCCCTGGGCTTGCTGGAAGAGGAAGAAGGGCCCTGTGCAAATCCAGACAACTGAACAAAGGTGGGGCTCACAATGTTTGTCATGGCTCTGGCACCCTGGGTTCAAGTTGGTCACCCTCGTGGTTCTCTGGCCAGCAGAACTGTTAACTCATTAGGAAGTGTGACTATCACCTGACTGCTCAGATGGTAAACTTCGGAGTGCTTTGGGTTAAATTTTGCTGGTTTTCTGTACTATGCCCAGTCTTCCTCCCTGCCCCCTTGTCCCACTAACTGCGGCAGTTTCCTCCCAAGCCCAGGTCTCCATATGCATGTGTGCACCCAGTCACCACATCGACGGCCAGAAAGGGAAACAAGATGGAGAGCCGTGCTCTGTGTATATTCATGTTAACCCCTTGGCACCTACAGGAGAAGGATAAAGCTCTCTTTCCAAGAATTTCCTGGGCAATTGGCTATGACTGAGTTCCCAGTCATATAGATCCTGGTTACATTCTTCTGCTCTGTGACTTGAACCTCTGGGAGCTTTAGCTTCTTTGTCTGTAGAAGGTGATAATCGACCATTATTTCAGAGGAATGTTGTGAAGATTAGATGGGGTTCCGCATGTCATATGCATGCATGGAGGTAACTGGATCATAAGCCTCAGTTTCTACCAGTGACAAATACAGTTCATAAAATAGCTTCCTCTTGAAACCACTGTGAGGATGGAATGAGGTGATCCACGCCATTGTTTCTTGTGCCTTGTGGAATGTTCTCAGCATTGAAGGCAGAGACATAATGAAGTAACTGCTAGTGTCATTGATTCAATGCCTGTTTCCTCAAAGGGGACAGAATATACATGCTTGGCTTAGTTTTAACTCCTGAATTTCTAAGCACTGTAGTGCACAATAAGTTCTAGAGATATCCACTGCAGGAGCCCCATGGTTCCCTCAACATCCCCTGTAAATATTTCCTGAGGAAGCCCTAGGTCTTGCAGCAAGTTAAGTTTCCAGCTTAGATAATCATTCATTTTTCTTTCTTTTCCAGCAGCCCTTAAGTTCGTGGTCCTCTTCAGCTTCTGAAGCTAATTAAACTATATAGATGGTGGCTTGTAACCACCTCACTCTGCTTCTTTTCAACCCAAGAAATCCGACACACTGGCATGGGTGGGCCCTTGGCTTAACTTAATTCGTGGCAGTCATTCCACAAAGATGGAGGCTACTCCAGGCTGACCATGGATGGGGATTGTGGTTGCCTTCCACCCCGACCTGCCTTAGGAATCTATGACCAGAATCTCGCCCTACTGTGGGAGCTGCCATTTCTCTCTTCTAGAAGGCCATCTCTATATAAAGCAGTGGGCCTTGGTGTTTAATTTTGTACCTCCTAATTTCCTACCACAAGACTTCCCTGGGTAGGGCTGGGCTCAATCTTCTCCGTGAGCCACACAGTTTCCACCCTGGGCCACAGTGTGGGTCAGTTCCATGAATAGCTCCACAACCCTAAGCAAGGAAGGCTTGCCTGGAAGGTGCTTGACCTGGTAGCTGGGCCCGATTGGGACTGAAGTGGGATGAGTTGGAATGTCCCATAGGATGCTCTTTCTTCCCTTCTGGTCCCTTCTGCTACTAACGTTTGGCTGATCATTTCTTCCCTACTTGGCAGGATCTGTGTGGGGCTACCACTTGTGATACTCTGGGCATGGCCGATGTGGGTACCATGTGTGATCCCAAGCGAAGTTGCTCTGTCATTGAGGATGATGGGCTCCCATCAGCCTTCACCACTGCCCATGAGCTGGGTAAGCCTGAGGGGAGGGGAGAATCCCTTTGGTGTGGTGGTTCTGGGTTTGTGCTGAGTGCTCTGAGGGTATGGGTGGCTGTGAAGAGACATTTGCCATTACTGTGTTATATTCTGAAATCTAAAGGATCTTTTTTAGAGTTAGACTCTGCTTGGACAGTGGCTTTGTTGTATCTTTTTTCATTTGCCCCAGTCTAACTGCCCAGTGATAGGGTCTCTGTGCCTCTGTAGTCTATATCACATGAGAACTATGGGAAAAGTATGTTCAAGATAAGGAGACACATTTCTGTTCCCACTGAACTCACAGCCTGAGGGAGGGGACAAATGAGACAAGCATGAGGTCTTGGTGATATTTGCAGAGCAATTCATCCATAGATACAAATGCACAGTCTGAAAACTGTCACAGAAGTTTCTAGCTTAGCCCATGCCTCCTTCAGTCCCTTGTGCCTGTTCTGAGCAGCCCTTTCTGCCCATCCCTTGAGTCTTCTCATTTGACTTCACAGGTCATGTATTCAATATGCCCCATGACAATGTGAAAGTGTGTGAGGAGGTGTTTGGAAAGCTCCGAGCTAACCACATGATGTCCCCGACCCTCATCCAGATTGACCGAGCCAACCCCTGGTCAGCCTGCAGTGCTGCCATCATCACCGACTTTCTAGACAGTGGGCATGGTAAGTAAGCCAGGGTGGCAGAGAGGAGCAGGGCTGACCTGAAGGACAATTCATGGCTGTCCCTGGTGGCACTGCTCACTACTTACCTGAGGTGTGACAGTGCCAAGGAGCTAGGTTCTAATATGGGACCATTCCAGTGGCTTCTTGCTTCATTCTCTCTCTACCATTTAGATTCAGGCCAGAGAGGCCTGACTTTCCCGTTTGTCGCAATAAGCATCCTTGGCTCTCTGCAGGTGACTGCCTTCTGGACCAGCCCAGCAAGCCCATCTCCTTACCCGAGGACCTGCCGGGCAACAGCTACACCTTGAGCCAGCAATGTGAACTAGCCTTTGGTGTGGGCTCAAAACCCTGCCCATACATGCAGTACTGCACAAAGCTGTGGTGCACTGGCAAGGCCAAAGGACAGATGGTGTGCCAGACTCGCCACTTCCCCTGGGCAGATGGTACCAGATGTGGTGAGGGCAAGTTCTGTCTCAAAGGGGCCTGTGTGGAGAGACACAATCTTAACAAGTACCGGGTGAGTGTGAGAGCATGTGTGTTGGGGGGTGGAGAGGTAGGGGAGGAGACTAGGGAATTGGAGGTGGGCCTCCATTGCTTGGTCTTTAATGGGAGGCTGCGTGGTACAGCGTGGCAGTGGCATACAGCTATACCATGCACCCTTTCCTGTCTATATGTTTTTGGGAAAGTAGTCTGTGGGCCAGATCTCAACACACACGATGAATGAATAGGCTAAATGTTCTTAGACGAAAGAGTCTGAGAACAGGCAAGTAAAGGGGAGCTCCTTCTCTTGGGAAAAGAAATCAGATGATGAAGAGACTGGTACAAAGGATGCTGGATATGGGAAATGGGATCTGGCAGCCCAATCTTTCCACTTCATTTCTAGAATTATCATCAGCAAAATTTACCTATGCCCTCCAACCTCTTTTCTGAACTGAAACCTGTCTTTCGTGGGGAGGAGGGACAGCTAAGGTCAAAAGCTCTCAATGATCCCTAATTAAGAATCTCATTCGGACTACCACATCGCACTTTCTAATGTATTCTCTCCAGCTTTTAGATTCCAACAGTGCTTCAGTCTCATGTAGGTATACAGTCTGTTATTACAGCCATCTTTTCCTTCTCATGTTCTTGCCTCCCTATTGAGTTGAGAGTCTGTGGTCAACTGTTAAAAGTTAACGACCTGGAAACTCAACTGGGACCATATGCTAATAAATGGTCATAGATTTCATTTTTTTCATTTTTTTTAGTTCATACATTCTCACAACCTCCTAAACTTATCAGCTTATACCTTCGCCTCTGATGTTAGTCCGTTTTCCATTACTATAATGAAGCACGGGAGGCTAGAAACTTATAAAGAAAAGAACTTTATTTAGCTCACAGTTTTGGAGGTTGAAAGTCCAAATGGCATGATACAGGTTCTAAGTGAGGGGTCCCTGCCATCATGGCAGATGGCACTAGGTAGGAATACTGTAGAGGGGGAGCTCATATAGTGAGAATGAAGTCAGAATGTAGGTGGGGCCAGGCTCATGATTTATAACATCTCACATCCTTGGGACTGGCCAGCATTCCACCTTTAATGATCTAACTACATCCCACTAGTTACCATTCAATGATCTTACTTTCTTCATATCTCACTGCATTAAGAAGGTCTCATCACTTACTACCACCATACTGGGGGTCACGGTTCTAACATGTGAACTCTTGGAAGTCAGACCACATCTACATCATAAAAACTGGTAGCCCTCGACCCAATTCATCACGAAAAAAATAGGAGGCATGAGAAGAGAACTTCCACTACTCCCATCAGTGCAACTGTCATCTCTTCTGCTTGTGTGGCCAAGCTCTCTACCTTTCTCTTTGCAGTTGACTACACTCTGTGTAGTCATGTTTTGTGCTGCCTATAATCCCTCCCACTCTGTCAAGAACACTTAACCAGGAAGAGGAGCTGTGGCTCAAGTGGTAGAGCTCTTGCCTTGAGCTGAAGAGCTCAGCACCCAGGCCCAGAGTTCAAGCTCCATGAAAAAAAAGAAAATAAAAGAAAAAAACAACACTTAACCTGTCTCCCTATTCACCCCTGCATTATCAATTGTCCCTCCCCCTCCTATTTTGTGTCAGTATGGGGCATGAACTCAGCCTCATGCTCTTGCTTGGCTTTTTTCATGCAAGTTGGCTCTTTACCACTTGAGCCACACCTCCACTTCTGGCCTTTTGCTGGTTTACTAGAGATAAAAGTTTCTCAGATTTGTATGCCTGGATTGGCTTTGAACATGGATCCTCAGATCTCAGTCTCCTGAGTAGCTAGGATTATAAGCATGTGCCATCCATGCCCAATCCCTCTTTTCAGCTGAATCATTCCTACCAGGATATAAACTTGCTGTGATTTCCTCTATCTTACACAAAGGTTCTTATCATACTATGTTCTGTCCTCTCAAAATATCAAAGTCTGTTTCTTTTGACTCCTTTTACAACAAAGTCCTTTGAAAGAGCTGTAAAACATGCTCTCTCTAATCCTTCTCTTCCTGTTTCTCTCTGGAGTCCATTCCCTCCCAACAACCCTCCAAAATAACTTTTATTATGCTTACCACATAGCCTCATGTTTCTGAAGTCCGGAGTTGATTACCCTTCTTCATGTGGCTTGACATGCTGCAGTGCTTAGCGAAGCCGGTCACATTCTCCCCAGGGCATGGGTCCACTTTGCCTGAGAGCTTCTACTGTCTATGGAATCTCTTCCCTCATCCCCTTCACTGGTTTCTCCTCATCTGCTCATTTTCAGAACTCCCCAAATCAGGCCTACCCACACTTAATCTCATAGTTTATAGACTGTGGCCTTAATCACCACTCAAAGGTTGAAGATTCTCCCTCCTGAACTACAGATTTGTATATCAAGTGAGTTTTCCATTCACACTTGGACACTTGCTGCTGCAAGGCTGAGCTCCTGATCACATCCCAAACATGCTTTGCCACCTCCACCTTCCTCCTGTCAGAGCCTAAACTCCTCTCACATGCACGTCAGTGATTCCTATTGACTTTCCCTTCAAAATAGATCCAGAACTCCTTTCCTGTCCTTACCTCTTCTATGCTGTATTCTTCCTGTATTATAACCATTGTTCCCCATCTCATCTCCCTGCTTTTAAAATTTATTTATTTGTTTGTTTGTTGTGCTAGTCTTGGGAATTGAACTCAGAGTTTGGGAGTTGTCCCTGGGCATTTTTTTTTTTTTTTGCTCAAGGCTAGTGTTCTATCACTTGAGTCAAACCTCCATTACTGGTTTTGTGGCTTCATTAGAGATGAGATCTCACAGACTTTCCTGCCTGGGCTGGTTTTGAACTGTAATCCTCAGAACTTAGCCTCCTTAGTAGCCAGGATTACAGGGATGAGCTACTGTTGCCTGGTCTTCTGTGCTTCTGAGCTTACTTTTACCAGACTATCCCAAATACAGCAGCCAGTAAGATCCTTTGAAAATAGAGATTAGACTGTGCCCAGCTTGGAACCCTTCCCAGACCTGGCGTGAGCCATCTTGGTCTCTGTGCTCTTGGCTCTTACTCACACTGATCCAGTGGTACAGGAACCCTCCCCATGCATCCCTCCTCAGGCACGTCAGGCTCTCCCTCTAATTGGAATGCTCTTTCCTTCACATCTGCATGGTTCATGCTCATCCTTCCTTCAGGCCATTTTTTGTGTGTGTGTGGCCTCCTTGACCCCTCAAATACAGAGCGGCTTCCGCAGTACCCACATCCCAACCACTTCCAACCCCATCTGACCTCTCTGTGCTCTGGCTTGTTACTATTTGTCTTTTCTCACTAAATGCAGTGGATATGGGGGCAAAGACTTGCTATACATAATGTCAGGCCTAGGAAGAACTCAGTAAATATTTGGTGAATGAATAGTATGTGGCCGGGGCACAAATGAATGTTTTTGTATGAATGGTGGGGAAGAAATGATGCTAGGTAAAAAAATCAAACAGCTTTGTCTCCAAAGCTGCTACAACAAAAGTAAATATTGAAAAAAAGTTGGAGATAATAAGACGAGCTCATTTTCATTAATTCTTTGCTGACTTTGGAGAGAGTAATTTCCATGGTATAATAGGGATAAAATCCACTTTGCAGGGCTCTGAGGGGTGAAGTTGTAGAAAGAACAGAAGCAAAAGAAGGGGAGAGGGTGAAGTGAGCCACTAGTGTGGGAGAAAATAGAAGTAAGAGATAGTGTTGTTTTTAAACAGAATAAAAGAGACAGGTTGACACAATGAAAGAACTATTTGACAGGAATACAGATTGAATGATATGCAGAATATTTATGCAAGTTATAGTCATTCTATTTCATGCAATTCTAGTTACTGCTTCAGTCCACATTGGGCTAGTTTCTGTATGGCTTGTACAACTGGGCCATTTCCTCTATTGTCCAGCTGACATGTGTTCAGGAGGTGAATGACAATTTTAAAAACACATACTGAAGGTTATAAATTTAAAACATAATTATATTATAATTAAATTATATAGATAATTAAATTATTAAAATATTAAGTTATAATTATATTAAATTATATAGGGATGATATATTTCTCCCTTTTCTTCCCTCTTAAACAAACATGCACTACATAATTTACATTAAAGCCAATTGGAGATGGTTTTAGGGATTTCTTCCTTCTTTCCTTCCTTCTCTTGCTTTCTCTCTCTCTTTTCTTTTTTTTTTTTTTGTGTTGGTCCTAAGGCTTGAACTCAGGGCCTGGGTGCTATCCTTGAACTTTTTAGCTCAAAGCTAATGCTCTACCACATGAACCACATCTCCACTTACAGCTGTTTTTGTTGGTTAATTGGAGATAAGAGTGTCATGGGCTTGCCTGCCTGGGCTGACTTTGAACCATGATCTGCAGATCTCAGCTTCCTGAGTAGCTAGGATTACAGGCACGAGCCTGTTTTAGGGTTTCTTAATAGTGTCTTATCTGTATGTCCTCTTAATACAAATGTTAACCTGCTGACAATGACATTTTCTCACATATATTCTTTGAAATCTTCTAAGTGTTGTGAAAAGTTTGAACTATAGAACATTTACAGATACAAATATTCAAATACCTATAGAAATGCTGTTTACTGGCAAAACTATTGGTGGGTCTGCCAAAGGTTTAGACTCTTGTCCATGTACTAACTACAGATAAGGGGAAATTTCCAACTCCTGTATAAAGGCAGGTTGGTGCTAGGAATTTTTAAATAAGTCACCTCATTTAAATCTCCTAACTGACTTCAGACCTTGCTCCATTTATGCAGGCAAAGCATGTGAAACCTAAGGAGGTATGGCCATCGGTTTAAGCCTACTATTGATAAATTGATTGATTGATTGATTGCCAGTACTGGGACTGCTCTCTCACTTGGATTCTCCACTCAAAGCTGGTGCTTTACCATTTGAGCCATACCTCCACCTCTGGCTGTTTTGCTGGCTAATTGGAGCTAAGAGTCTCACTGGGTCCTTTGCCCAGGTTGGTTTGGAACCGTGATCCTTAGATTTCAGCCTGAGGGGTAGCTAGGATTCTGAACATTAGTCATCAGTACCAGCTTCAAGATTACTTGTGTAGTGAGGGCAGAGACAATTGAGCAGCATATTTGCCTCACTCTGAAGCCCAAAGAGGTCTCCATCTTCTGAATGATCTCATTTATAACTGGGAGCTGTTGGTTTGCTATACTAATCTGTTGAAGGGCTATGTGGACTCTGTGCACCCAGACTATTTGCTTATGTTTTGTTCATGATGCAACATGGATTTCATTCCAGTGGAGTGGGATGGAACCTTGAAGGCAGTACCAGCACCTTCTGCCTGCTAAGGGGCTGGATGTGGCACTTAGCGCTGCAGCAATGTGACTTGTTCTTCCTTACAGGTGGATGGTTCATGGGCCAAGTGGGAGCCCTATGGTTCTTGTTCTCGTACCTGTGGTGGAGGTGTTCAGCTGGCTAGGAGACAGTGCAGCAACCCCACCCCTGCCAATGGGGGCAAATATTGTGAAGGAGTGAGAGTCAAGTACCGGTCTTGCAACCTGGAGCCCTGTCCTAACTCAGGTGAGATGGGGAAGGCAACAAGTGGCCTAGGCCCTGAGAAGGTGAGCCTGGAGGTCATTGCCTTCTAGGTACCCTCCTGGGGCATTTGTGGTCAAAATGAAGTTGCAGTCAAGATTTCCAGGCCAGAAGAGAGGAGAGATATTGAGCTCCCCTGGAATTCATCCCTCTGGCCACTCACCTTTGAAAATAAGGGTATTTGCTGGGGGCTTAAAGTGGACTGTTACATAGACCCAGTGCTTGAAGTGTTGAAGTTGTAGTAGTTAAGTACTCCTCTCTTCTAAGCAGGAATCCAAGACTTAGTGGGAAAAATTTTTACCTTTTTTCTATTTTCCTATCTAAAACTTAGTATTTCTTCCAATTAGAAAGTTGTACTTTTTTCTTTCTTTTTCTTGTTTTGTGTGTGTGTGTGTGTGTGTGTGCACGCATTTGTGTACGCACCAGTAATGAGATTTGAACTCAGATCCTTGGTGTTGTCCTTTAATTTGCTCAAGGCTGGTGCTCTACCATTCTAGATTTTTGGTGATTAACTGGGATAAGAGTCTCATGGACTGTCACATCATGATCCTCAAATCTCAGCCTCCTGAGAAACCAGGGTTACTGGCCCTGACAGCATTTTATTTATTTATTTATTTATTTTTAAATGTTTTTTCTTTTTATTAACCATTCCATCAAAAATGTGAAATCAAGGTTAGATAACCCAAGAAAGTGGCACATTGCTCATGGAGTGCCTGTGTCTTTTGGTACTGGGCTGATTGAGGGGGAGATGAGCTGAATCACCCTGCTGAGGGGTGGAGAGTAGAAGGGCTGTTTAGAGTCACAAAGGGGCTGGCCACTCTTGGAAGGTATACTGTATTTCATACTTGGCTCTTCCGCTTAGCTTCCTTTGTGTGCTTTCTCCCTTCCCAGCCTCTGGCAAGAGCTTCCGGGAGGAGCAATGTGAGGCTTTCAATGGCTATAATCACAGCACCAACCGCCTCACCCTGGCTGTGGCATGGGTACCCAAGTATTCAGGTGTATCTCCCCGGGACAAGTGCAAGCTCATCTGTCGAGCCAATGGCACTGGCTATTTCTACGTGCTAGCACCCAAGGTGAGTGGATTGGGCACAGGAGATTAGAACTAGGACTGGCCTTCAGGGGAGCATCAAGCTGATGTATCCTTCCTCTTCCTCTTCTTTTCCTCCTGGGTCTTCTGCAGGTGGTGGATGGTACGTTGTGCACTCCTGACTCCACCTCAGTGTGCGTCCAAGGCAAATGCATCAAAGCTGGCTGTGATGGAAACCTAGGCTCTAAGAAGAAGTTTGACAAATGTGGGGTGTGTGGTGGAGACAATAAAAGCTGCAAGAGGGTGACAGGTCTCTTTACCAAGCCCATGTGAGTTCTGGGCCCTGGAGGGTAAAACCTGGGAGAAAAGGGGGAGATGGGGTAGTGGAATTTCCCCCAGGGACTGAAAGCTTGGGTTAGATTGGGGTAAATATCAGGTCCTGGCCATACCCTTGCTGTAGAGGCTCCACAGATACTGTTAGTCTATGCCCCCTTCCATCCATCCCTCCATCCCTTCCTCTAGCCCTCTTTCCATCCATCCATCCATCCATCCATCTATCCATCTATCCATCCATCCATCCATCCATCCATCCATCCATCCATCCATCCGTCTGTCTGTCCATCCATCCATTTCACAAAAATGAATGCTTGAAAAGGACATGCTTCAGTGGGAGATGACATTCAGACAGATGTCTATTGCTCTAGAGTAGGGCTGACAAGCATTTAAATCTTAGTTCCCCATTTTCTTTCTGACCTTGGGGGAAGTGATGTATTCCCCAGGATGTAATACTAATATGCTTCATGGGTGCTCTTCTGAGGAGTAAAGAAACTAATCCCCAAATGGCTAATGTTATACCTGGTGCCTAATCAATGCTCAGGACATGATCTTGACAAGGAGGAAGTAGGTGACAGCTGCCATCCTGTCCTTGGCCTGAGGGATTGGATTGAGGTGAGAATGGCAGTAAACTGAGGAAGGGACAGAGTGAGTAGCTGGGCCTCAGGAGCTTCCACTTCTTAGAAAGTAGGCTCCAGGGCCAGCTGGGGAGTTGCCACAGGGTCTCTTCTAGTCCCAACTCCAGTGTCTGTGGCTTCTCTGCTGGAGCTTCGGAGCCATATTCTGGAAGAAGCAGAGCACTGGAGGTCTGTTGGGAGCATATTGGGTCGGCCTGGCAACCCAAGTATTGATGATGGAAAAACCAGATGGCTGTCCTAAAGTTTGAGGACACGAGCCCCACTCCTGGTCCTTAGCTGGGTGAATCTTGGCCTCTTTTCTGGAAGCTTGAGCACTCCAGGTGCCATTTTTTTTTTTTTTACAGAGACCTGTTGCATGTGACTGCATGAAGAGTTGGAGGCTTTTATCTAGACATACCTTAGATGAAGTGGCCAGGTGCCCTTTCACAGACTGTGGGAGCTGGAGGGAGCTTTAGAATAGATCTAGCTTACCTACCTCAATATGCAGACTGTGGAAACTGCAGGGAGCTTTAGAACAGATCTAGCTTACCTACCTCAGTGTGCAGATGAGGACACCAGAGCCCTGAAAACCTGGGCTTACTTACTTAAAGGTGTCTGAGTCACAACTGATCATCATCCCCAATTCCAAGGTTAATTCTTTCACTGAGTCAAGCTGCCAATCTTGGATTTGGGCACTGTATTCTTATTTCCTTCCCTCACCTCTCACCCTCCTCATATCTATTGAATCCTGTCTGTGCCAAGCACTGAGCTCCATGATTTATATGCTGTGGCTTCTTTAATCCTTGCAGTTCAATGAGGTATGTGTGATTATGAGCTCCGTTTTATGGATTAAGGAAACAGAGGCTTAGGGAAGCAGAGACTCCATCCAAGACCAACAGCAAAGCAAGGGGTGTGGATCTGTGATTCCAAAACTTGTGCTATTACTCACATCTCAGAAATCACCAACAGATATACTTACTGAAGAGAAAAGATCATGAATGCATCTAAAGACCAGGCATTTAGTTTTAGATGATCTAATAACTAACTAGCCCATGTACCAGCTTTCAGACTGGTACTTTCATTGTGTTTTGGATGGCGATTAAGTAACCTGGTTAGTCTTTTCTTTGTGTGTGTGCCAATACAGGGGCTTGAAGTGAGGGACTGTGCACTGTCCCTCAGGTTTTTTTTTTTTAATTCAAGGATGGCTGGTGCTTTACCTCTTGAGCCACAGCTCCACTTCTGGCCTTTTGGTGATTAATTAGAGATAAGAACGTTACGGACTTTACTGCTTAGGCTGGCTTTGCTAATCCTCAGGTGATCCTCAGATCTCAGCCTCTTGAGTAGCTAGCATTACAGGTGTGAGCCACTGGTGTCTAGCAGTGTGGTTAGTCCTTGTTATCTTGGTGTCTGCGGCCCTAAGGTTTGCAAACAAAGGAATCCATCATGTTTTTGAAGAGAAAGAGAGGTCTGTGGTCCAGGAAAGCGTCTGATGCAGTTGTTCCTCTCTTCTCCTCCAGGCATGGCTACAATTTCGTGGTGTCCATCCCTGCAGGAGCCTCGAGCATAGATATTCGCCAGCGGGGCTACAAGGGACTTATTGGGGATGACAATTACCTGGCCCTGAAGAACAGCCAAGGCAAGTACCTGCTCAATGGGCACTTTGTGGTGTCGGCGGTGGAGCGGGACCTGGTGGTGAAGGGCAGCCTGCTTCGGTACAGTGGCACGGGCACAGCAGTGGAGAGCCTCCAGGCTTCGCGGCCCATCCTGGAGCCGCTGACGGTGGAGGTCCTCTCCGTAGGCAAGATGACACCACCCCGTGTCCGCTACTCCTTCTATCTGCCCAAAGAGCCCCGGGAGGACAAGTCCTCCCACCCCAAGGACCCTCGGGGACCCTCCGTGCTGCACAACAGTGTCCTCAGCCTCTCCAATCAAGTGGAGCAGTCAGACGAAAGGGTCCACACTCGCTGGGTGGCAGGCAGCTGGGGGCCTTGCTCAGCAAGCTGTGGCAGTGGCCTGCAGAAACGATCAGTGGACTGTCGGGGTTCCCCAGGACAGCTCGGGGCCTCTGCCTGTGATACAGCCCATCGGCCAGTGGAGACACGAGCCTGCGGGGAACCCTGCCCAACCTGGGAGCTTGGGACCTGGTCACCCTGCTCCAAGAGCTGTGGTCGGGGATTTAAGAGACGTCCGCTCAAGTGTGTGGGCCATGGAGGCCGGTTAATGGCCAGGGACCAGTGCAATCTACGCCGCAAGCCCCAGGAACTGGACTTCTGCATCTTACGGCCCTGCTGAGTGGGATTGTCCTTTTCTTCCCCTCATTCTCTGGCCGGCTGATATGCTGGTGTTCTGGCCAGCTGGAGCAGAGGACTATAGGCATGGGCCTATGCCATGATGCCACTCACCTCCAGGACAAGGGCCATGGGTTGGGGAGAGAGGTTCCCTTCTCCCTGGACTGGGCAGGGGGAAGATAATAAGTGCACAGTCTACCTCATGCCCTGCTCCTTTGGGGGACCCAGTTGCAGGGAGAGGCTACAAGGTGCGGGGCTGGGCAGAAGGGGCTGAGGGAGGTCCACTTTCCCAGAGACCTGGAGGTTGAATGCCCCCACCCACCCCCGGGCAGAACTTCAGGGACCTCAACTCATAAGGAGGCTACAGGCTGCTGGAAGAGCCATGGCCCGGTAGCTTGCCACCCTGAGGTGGCTCCAGGGGGCTGGCTGTGAGATGCCTCTGAACAAGGCAGGGATTTCACGGTGCTCTCAGTCCTCCTTCCTTTTCTGACAGACATGGGCTGAATAGTAAAATCTGCCCTGGGAGTTGACAGTAGCCAAGAGGAGAGTGAGAGTGGGTGTGACTGGACTTGGGTGTCTCCACTTGTGAAGAGATAGGAGTTGATCAGGAGTCCTAAGGTTCCTCATCCTCCACCGTAGCCCGTCTTGAAAGAACAGCTCTTCTCTTCTCTCCTGAAGGCCAGGGCGTCAGCCTAGCAGAGGGCCACCAAAGTGTCCTCTGAGGCCTTGAAGGCAGATGATGAAAATCTACAGAGTCCTTCTTCATTAGGAAGGGGCTGGCCAATGCAAACAGATGTTGTCTCTTAGATGCAGGGAATGTGAGGAGTGATCTAGAAGGTTCTTCTGACATTGCATTTGGGGTGGGAGCTGAGCTCTTGGGGTTGGATTTGGGAATACAAACTGAGGAATACATCCTCCTGAGAAGGATGTAAGGTTGATGCTGAAGACAGACACTGCATTGCTCCAGAGAACCCCCATCATGGCCATAGTCCTGGATTATGCAGGCCTGGAGGCAGGAGGTGCTGAATAACCATGTGCCTGTCAATTAATCTTCACCCCGATAGCTCCTGCTGTCTGTCTGCCATGGGCACATCATATTGCATCTCCAGGCCTTTGCCCGTCCAGCTAATAAATGCGCTTCCCTCTTTGCTACCTCAGATTATGCTCTCTGGAAACCCACCTTGTTTCTCTCCAGGGTCAGAAGTGATCTGGTGCTTCTACTACACCCAGCCATAGAGAAGAACATGCTCTCTGCAGCCTTGCCACCGTCTGCAGCTCCAGATAGGAAGAACAGGGTCTCTCTCTCTCTCCAGGTTCTTTGGCTGCAGATTTCAAGAGCACCTAAAACAGGGACCTGATTGCAGCCATCACTAGTGAACTGCCAGAAACACATCTGTCTTGTAGGTATTGGCAAGGGAGCAGAAGCCCAGGTGTTTCTTACAGTGCCAAGTGAGGAGATATGTTGGAGTTAGAGATCCTTTAGCCAGGCAGGGTATTTCTTATAAGGTGCAGATGCCCAGGTGATATTCCACTTCAAAGTCTAGGTGATGAGTTCAGGATCTCAGTGGAGAACGTCATTAAGATAAGATATGCATGTGTTTTCCATGAGAAAGGGGTTCAGTCTTTCTATTTGTTTCCCCCTAATAGTCAAAATCCACAACCTGGCCAGTCAAACCCTTGGAATGATGTTCCAACCCTGCTCTCATCCCAGGCCAATGGCCTTGGACAAGACTCCTGCAGGGGGTAGAGGACATACAGCTCTCTGAGACAAGGCTGCAGTCACCCTGGAAGGACGGAGGGAGGAGGAACCCACCCTCCTTCTGTGAGCATGGAGAAGCTATAGAGACAAAAGGGCCCCAGGCCAGGGAGCTTTGCCAGACAGTGACAGCAACACTCCAGTGCTTGGAGCCTTCTCTTCTAGTTGAGGAGAGTGTAGTGTAGGGGCTGTATGGAAGGGCTTGGGAAAGGATGGGTGGGAAGGGAGTGATGGGAGGAGTCACTCAGGTGACTGGCTCCCAGCAGAGCAGTGTTTGCAATCAGTTGCTTTACAAATCTTTTCAAGGAGGGATAACCACTCTTGCTCCTGACATGGGCCATGTTTCCATGGTTTATTCTGTCACAATGGTTGTTTTTGTTTTTGGTTATACATTTCTTTTCTTTTTAAAAAAGCAATATGATGAAAACCACTTGGCAAGTTTCTCTTGTCTTTGAACAGTTCCTCAGTCCACAGGGCTGACTGAGCAGAGAAGAGATTCAAGACACAGGATTCTGGTGGTGGAATAAAAATCAAGGTGGTATGGAAGAAGAGAACCATTTTGTGGGGGCTCCAGGGACTTCAGTGGGGGTGCAGACATTATGACTTAGGATTCCCCAGCCTCTTTTCCTATCGTGTGCACTGACTGGAGGAGTCTGATTCATCACTCTTACGGATCTCATCATGTTGGAGAAGGGGCTGAGAGGAGCTGAGGACAGTTTGAGGGGGCCTAAGCGCACCCAGCCTGGAAACACTAAATACTACCATTGATAGAGCCCCCTTCACCCCCCACCTCATGTGCTTGGTTCTTTTGCATTCCATGGGAGGCCCTGGGTTCTGGCTGGGCGTGTATACTGTGTATACATGGGAGGTGGCTGCTGAGGTGACAACAGCTACTCCTAATAAAGTTGAGAGTATTTAAGATGCATGTCCTGCCTCTGTCATTGCATATCTTCCATGCACACAGTCTCCATAGTTACAGGGCACTTGCTTTGTGCCAGCCACGGTGATAAGAACTATGGAGATACTAATTACAAGGGCAATACAACCTTGTTCTACATAGCTCCCAAGGTTGAGAGGAAGTTGGAGTCTTGAGAAGCTGTGACATGACTGGGAAGAAGCCAACCAATGCTGAGAAAGGAAACATTGGCCCTGGTGCTTGTGGGCTGCATTTAGAGTGACCAGGGAAGGTCCCTCAGACAACGGGCAGCTTACCTGAGACACCACAATGAGACAGTAGCCCTGTGAAAAGTGGGGAGGGGTTTTTCAACACAGGAGCAGGAGGCCTAGGTAGGGGCTTAGAGGGGAACTCTGGGATTGTACTTGGTGAGGAAGGTAAGGCACAGGGGCAGGTCAGAGAGCCGTGTAGGGATTCCAATGAGTCATCTTAAATAGAAACCCTCAAGTTTCTTAAGAGAACATTTCATCCTGTTTGGAGAATTCTTACCTCTTTCTGAAGTAGGGATGCTAAATCTAACCCGCATTTCTTAGCCGCATGGTGGATGATAGGTTATTGGGTTTAACTGGTGCCATCTTGTCTTATGGTGGAGACAGGGAAGTCCCACCTCCTAGGTGATAGGTGTGCCTGAATTCCTAGGGGCAGGGATGGGGACTTGGACAATAGGTTATTAGACTTGCCAGTCTTGGGTCATGAACTCTCAAGCTCCCTGTGACCCTGCCCTCTGACCTGACCCTATTCAGGCCTGGGCCAGCTCAGGCACCAGGATGGCATGCTACATGTCTCCATGTTCGTGTCCTGTCTCCTGGTTCTTCTCCGGTCACCATGGCATCTCACTTCAACTCTCCCTTGGAGCTGATCTGGTTTGTTGTTTTTCTGCCTTGTCTTTGCTCTCCTGGTCTCATGGCTCCGTTTTCTGACAACGTTAAGTGTATATGCAGGACTGCAGATCTTTGGGACAGGAGTCCATCTGCAAAAGCTGGCCTTTTAATAAAGACTTCCAATTTGACCTCTCAACATGTGGCTTCTCTGTTTTCTCACTGTACAATGTTGGTCTTAAGACTGCAAATATACAACAAGAGTGGGGTGTGACGCATTTTAAGGAACATCTCTAAACTTGTTTGCCCCAGAGCTGATCACCTCTTAGAATCTCATTTTCTGTCTGAAAAGTGAGAAAGGTATATTTCATGCTCCTTTCAGGTGCCTCCAGAATTAGTGGTTTCTAGACACAGCTATGTTTTAGACTTTGGTGAATGACCCTCTGGCTTCAGAGCTTGGGCAGTGATGGGAATCTTGTTTTGTTCTCAGAACTTAATATACCTCCCATGGCTTGGTCCACTGACTAGCCTCCAGCCCAGAATCTTAATCTAGATATGAAAACCCCCTCCCCCCCTCAGGTGATAGGCATCTGAGACTTGCTCAAATAATGGGTTCCTTGAGCCAGACCAGTACCAAAACCTCTGGAAACTCTCTGAACCCTGCAGCTACCTGGGACTCTGCCCCACCCATTACCCTCCATATAAGGCTCTCCACCCCTGCTCCCATTACACCTTGGGTCTCCTGACTGTCCTCAGGTCATCATGGCATCCCTCTTCAACTTTCCATTAAACTTGACCTGCTTTCTGCTCTTTCTTTATTCGAATACCATTTCTTTTGGTCTTTCTGGCAGAGCAAGGCCATGAGTTCCCCACAAGCTGAGAGAGCCCCTTGAGGTATGTGGGTAAGGTGACCAGAGAGAAGGCTTGGGTAGAAGGTCCTGGATAAAGGAAGGCTCAACCGGAAGGGAGGCCTGGAAGAGACTTAGAAAGGCTTGAATTGATGCTTAAATTTAGTCAACAATTGTCTTTCTGGTTTCCATAGCAGCAATTACTACCTTTCGAAGGTAAAAGACCTGTGGCTGGTTTGGGGTTCAGGGAATAAAGGAAAAAGTAGAGGAGGCTGGGTCCCACTCAGTAACCTGGCTTGGAGGCTCAGGAGCACTCTGGCCAAGCTCACAAAGGTAAGAAGCTCTCACCAGAGCTGAAGCTGGCATCAGGAGCAGAGAGATCTACCTAACATCTATTTTTAAGTTTCCTCACCTAGGAATGAATAGTTTCCCAGCCACTCTGGCTTTTGGAAAAAAGCAGAACAATTTGCTTTACAATGCAGCTACAGGACTGAATGCATTCTTGCTTCAGTAGAGAATAAAAGCATCCATAATTGCGAAAAGGTCTTGACTCCCTGGGTCAGGCTCTGCCTGCCTAGCAAGTCCTGGCCCACTCCCAGCAGGCTGAGCTGGCAGGGCGCAGGGCAGCATGTGTGACCCTAGAGTCTTTCCATTGCTCCTTGGCTTGTGCCCAGCCTTCACTGGGTGAGTCAGCCCAGAAGCTTGCAGTCCCAGCAACGAATCCCAGAAGAATGAACCATCTCCCTTTAGGCTCTTCATATGCCACTGTGTCACCTGCCAGTCTCCAGGAGCTGTGAGAAGA